CTTACTATGCACCACTAATGGAATTCCGGTATAGCATTCTTTTACGAGAATTCTCACACATTTCTTTATGCACGTTTTGGTCCGCATTTCTTGGGCAAGCAGGAATCAGATATGCATGAGCATTCGATCAATTTATATGATTTTTTACCACTGAAACCAACATTGCGTATAAGTAGTTGTCCAGAATCTGGCTTGAAATTTAGAGGATCGAAAAACACTCTTCATCAACTGCATTGGCTGTGTCCATGAATAAAAGTGGGTGAATGCAACAACTGTACTGCGTGACTTCAATTTTCTTGCAAGTTGTTGTTGTAACCACGACCGACCCTTTTCTTTATCTCTAGGTGTGACTGATCCTGTACGGAACTATCGGTTCTGAAAAAACCTACTGTCGCTACTCTTTACACAGTTCGCAACGATGCGCGGACTGCTAATTTACGTTCCTACGTACTTGTTTGAACGGTTACTCTCTTTTCTTGACTACTTCCAGCTTACATTACTTGATTTGTAGACAGCCACACAAAGTTCCTAAATGCTTGCTTTAGACGGTAACAGTGCCTTTACTGTTTGACCGATAGGGACAGATTGCTCGCAAAACCATTACCGCACTCGCCTGGATGTTAAAGGCAAACCCCAGGTAAGGCCCGACTTGTGGGAAGGATACCGCGAGGGAAATTGTAAGGTCCCTACCTAGATCACTCCAGCTTCGCCGCAAAATTGCGCGGTTAGGGCGCTAATCCTTACGGGCCTGCAACCATCGACCCCCGTTGCAACGCTTCCCACCCACCTCGATATCGGCGTGCTCTCTCGATCTCACGTGTTTTGACCGCCCTGTCTCGCCATCGTTCCACATCCGACCTTTTTGAAGGTTAAGGCCTTAATTTCAGCGTTCCCAAAGATTTCTCTAGCTTTCCTTTCCACTTTCAGGCGTTCCGCAGCTCAGTCATCATTACGAAGCGCTCTTACCACCGGTTTATCCCGGGGCTTGCCTTTAAGAGTAGCATCGTATTTGGATTTCTGAGAGTCCTATTAGCGGTTATACCGCTCAACGGTTATACCGGCCCCAGCTTTATTACTGACTATGGACACGATAGGCCATTGGAAGACGAGAAGAGAGGGACGGGAAAGAAGGAGGTGGGCGGGGTAGCCGTAGGAAAGGAGAGAGCTAGTCATGGAGCTCGGAAGAGGGTGGAGGAACTCGATACTGGCCAAAAACTTTTTGACACACGGCCCACCCGCCGTTGATTGTCGGAATTCCTGTCAGATATGATGAGCACAGAATTTTATGCCTACATTTAACATGCCCCTTTCGCGCCTATTATGGTTACACTACCAGTTTGCGTCATGCAGCATATGTACTGTGAGTCCAATTGATGTAACGATTTTGATAGGTTAACCTCATTTTGCTGCAAATAATAGCTTGTATTGAATAACAGCGTTGTAACTCGCTTTTGAGGTTATGAGTCGCTTGGTCGTTTTCTGCGCTTTCTTTGGAATTGCCTTATCGTGCGTGTGGAACGAGAAAAAATATTCGGACGGTGAGACGTGGGTCAGTTTTTGTTCGAGAGATTGGATTTTGTTTTAATCCTGTCTTAGCACTAGAGCTCGTCAGCTACTTATGACACCTATATGTTGAATGTATAAAAGGATCTAAAATCAAAAATTTCGGTTGCCAATTTCCAGCTGTTGAAGTAGTCTCCTTGCTGCCAGGGTCAACCGTTCAGCGCGAAAGGTCCGCCGAAGTGAAGCACTGCGAACCTTCCACCTACCACCACTATAGGATCCATCCGATTGGTCTTCTAAGAAAAAATTTCGCTCAAACTTTTTCCCAACCTAATATATCGAACAAAGAGTAAATGCGCTATGCTATTTTTCGTTGAATTATTTTAGGTTGACGGAAGCTTCAAGTTGAAATGCACTGCCGGAAGCAGAGGCGGATGGAGTACGTCTATTATTGCATGCGTCACACCGAAAGGCACTGAGGTTAATGGCAATTCTATCACTTTATTGAGAACAGTCAGCCCCTTAGAGCTGGTTCGAGTTTCGTCATGAGATTTCCTAAGGATGATCTCTTATCATCCTAGCTAGCTTCCTCTTCAATGATCATCAATTAACCTCTATCTACTACCTCGAAAACCTGTTCGACCCAGGGTGAGCCAAGTCACGTATCTGCGACAGGTGGTTGTGTCTGCCACGGTGAGGAGGGGGGGGTTATAAATGAGTGCAGTCGATGATATCTTGGTCAATGAAATAGAAATAAATGTAAAATTTGTCGTTCCTTCTCGTGGTCGTGAGCACCCTCGCCTCCTGACGCCATTTTCTGAGGGATTTAGGGGCAGAATTGTGGAGTTGTAGTGTGTAAAGCTGCAGATTCTGTTACACTATATTGGCGCTAAAGCCCAGAGGGGACGAGGCGTACAAAGCGATGAATCTTACTGCCACAGATACCCACGTTTTAGAAGCGATTACTAGCTTGCTTCGATCCCACGAATTGGTGGAATAGAGGTAG